TATGCATTAAAGACTGCAACGTATGTGCTGAACCGGGTTCCTAGTAAGGCAGTTCCTAAGACTCCTTATGAAATGTGGACAGGAAGAAAACCCAGTTTAAGGCATCTACGTGTATGGGGTTGCCCAGCAGAAGTAAGGCTATATAATCCACATGAAAAGAAACTTGATTCGAGGACTGTCAGTGGATTTTTCATTGGCTATCCTGAAAAATCAAAGGGGTACACATTTTATTGCCCTAACCATAGTACGAGAATAGTTGATTCGGGCAATGCTAGATTCATTGAAAACGGTGAAACTAGTGGGAGTGGTGAAACTCGAAAGGTGAACATTAATGAAGTTCAGGTTGAAGTTTCTTCACCTGTGGTTACACCTGAGGTAGTTGTTCCTATTGTTGCATCAGAGTTTAATGACACAATAGTACAACATAATAATGTGCCAGTCCCATTAGCTGAAGATACTGTCGATGAACATGTCATAATTCAAGGAGAGAATAGTGAACCACAAATACCTTTAAGGAGATCTGGAAGAGAAAGAAGATCTGCTATTCCAAATGATTATGTGGTTTACACTATTGAAAATGAATGTGACTTAAGCATGGATGATGATCCGATCTCATTCAAAATGGCCATGGAAAGTGACAATTCTGAAGAGTGGTTTGATGCCTCAAAAGAAGAGATGAAATCTNTGGTGACCTTGAGGAGGAAATATATATGGACCAACCTGAAGGTTTCGTGGTCGCAGGAAAAGAAAATTTGGTGTGTAAGCTGAGAAAGTCAATATATGGACTAAAACAAGCTTCTCGACAATGGTATATAAAGTTTAATGATACCATCACATCATATGGTTTTGTAGAGATCATTGTTGATCGATGTATCTACATTAAGATCAGTGGGAGTAAGTTTGTGATTTTAGTCCTATATGTTGATGATATTTTGCTTGCTGCAAATGACATGGGTATGTTACATGATGTAAAGAAGTATCTCTCTAAGAACTTTGAAATGAAAGATATGGGTGAGGCATCTTATGTGATCGGGATAGAAATCTTTCGCGATAGATCACAAGGACTGTTAAGTTTGTCTCAGAAAGGATATATCAATAAGATCTTAGAGAGATATAGAATGGATAAAAGCTCTGCAGGAATAGCTCCAATTCAGAAGGGGGATAAATTCAGTAAAATGCAATGTCCTAAGAATGAATTGGAGCGTAAAGAAATGGAAAGAATTCCCTATGCATCGGTGGTTGGGAGTTTGAACTATGTTCAGACATGTACTCGACCCGATATCAGCTTTGCTGTTGGAATGTTGGGTCGATATCAAAGTAATCCTGGAATGGACCACTGGAAAGCTGCAAAGAAAGTTCTCAGGTACTTGCAAGGCACCAAAGAGCACATGCTTACATATAGGAGATCTGATCAGCTAGAAGTCATTGGATATTCAGATTCAGACTATGCCGGATGCGTTGATAGCAGAAAATCGACGTTTGGCTACTTGTTCCTATTAGCTGAGGGAGCAATATCATGGAAGAGTGGAAAGCAGTCTGTCATTGCTACTTCCACTATGGAGGCTGAATTTGTGGCATGCTTTGAGGCCACAATTCATGCATTATGGCTGCGGAACTTTATCTCAGGGCTTCAGATTGTCGACACTATAGCCAAGCCGCTGAGAATTTACTGCGATAATTCTGCAGCTGTCTTCTTTTCAAAGAACGACAAGTACTCAAAGGGTGCTAAGCACATGGAGTTAAAGTTCTTGTCGGTTAAAGAAGAAGTTCAGAAACGGAGAGTGTCATTTGAGCACATAAGGACGGACATGATGGTAGCGGATCCGCTAACTAAAGGTTTACCACCTAAGGCGTTCAATGGCCATGTAGAACGTATGGGTATTATAGATAAGGCTTTGCTATTTTAGTTATGCGATGCTCATTATGTATTTGACACAAAGAATTCACATAAAGTTATGTTTCTGATTTATTAACTATGTTATCATTAAAGTATATGTATACATTTATAGTTTGTAGATAACATATCGCTGGTTTGAGAAATAAGGTTCTTCTCATATTTAAAGATTAAAATTGGATTGATTTGTGATACATGGAAGGGACTATGTCGTTTAATGGCATACAACCGCCATGATTCGATCAATTAAAAATCTTTTTAATAAAGATCAAGTGAACTTGATATAAAAGTGCACATTAAAGTTATTAAACTTTTAAGTCGACATAAAGGTCAAGTGGGAGAATGTAAGAATATTTTATATTCTATGTGACCTATATGTCTATTGGTTTAATATAAAGTTCAAATTCATATTAATGATTATAGATTCTAATATAAAAGACAATACTGTGATGGATCGGTTTTGATTAAAGAATTAGAATCCGGGTGTATTGATAACCCTCCTACTTTACCTTATGTTTACAAATGTATTTAATCTCATGATCATATATGTTAAAAGTAATGATAATGGAATACATTACTATTAATAATATATATGAGTATACGTACGTTGTGGTAAACGTTAATATATAACCAATGGTTGTGGTGAGGTCTTAAAGAGTTGTGTTGGTTGAGACTCATGTCTCTTTGACTCATATAAGAAGACCTCTACATTATTATTTTACTCGTACGGTAGAAAACGAGAATATCAAAAACACACAACAATACTGGTTATTTTAAAAGTGAGATTAAGGAAGGTTTGGGATTTCTTGTCCATCAAGGAAATCACCAAAAGAGAAGGTTAAAGAGGAGAACATCAATTGGTGGGGTTGCATTCAAGCATGGATCAAGGTTAGTGTTTTTACTTTCTCTAGAAACAAGTTAGGATTGAATTAAGGCAAATCTAAATTAGATCTTGGTGTGATTCATAATTGAAATCATAAATCAAATTAACAGAACGTTGCATCTGGGGTTATGGGGATGGATCCACCATCCCTGTTTACGACACTCCCCTTGGCAAACTTGGTGCTGCCATTTGCTGGGAAAATAGGATGCCTCTCTACAGAACTGCGCTGTACGCAAAAGGTTAGTCTTAAATTCCCTCGTTATTCAAAGAGTATCCTATCTTCAAAAATGTTGGTTTGCCTCATGTCTTCATTAACAATAGTGAAATTGAGTCACGTGTCCCCTGTGTTTTGATCATGCAGCCCTTTCTAATTTCTAATGTAAGATTCCTAACAATCTAGATTTTGGGCTGCAGGAGTTGAGATTTATTGTGCACCTACTGCTGATGGTACAAAAGAATGGCAATCCTCAATGATGCACATTGCGCTTGAGGGTGGATGTTTTGTGTTGTCGGCCTGTCAGTTTTGCCAGCGAAAAGATTTCCCTGATCATCCTGATTACTTGTTTACTGACTCCGAAGACAACAAAGAACATGATGCCATTGTCTCCCCAGGCGGCAGTGTCATTATTTCGCCACTGGGAAAGGTTCTCGCTGGACCAAACTTTGAATCAGAGGGTCTCATCACAGCTGATCTTGGTATATTATACATTTCATTCATTTTAGGCTGTAGTGTAGAAGATGAATTTATTTTTACATAATCATATAACTAACTTGATTTTATCGTCTAGATTTTGGTGATATCGCAAGAGCCAAGTTATACTTTGATGTGGTTGGACATTACTCGAAGCCAGATGTTTTTAACTTGACTGTAAATGAGCACCCGAAGAAACCAGTTACATTCGTGTCGAAGGCAGTCAAAGTTGAGGATGACTCAGAGTCTCAAAACAAGTAATCGAGATTTCAAGGTCGTCAATCTAGCTTCTCCACAACTACTGGAGTTCATGTCAGTTATATGCTATTGTCAGTTTTAATTATTCTGTTGGGACACTCTGTTAAGTTAATAAGAGTATTGTTTTAACTTTTATTGTTTTAACTTTTATGTTAAATAATGCACGACAACCAATTGGAGATAGTAGATCTAATGTTGTTGGATAAAACCAAGAGAAAATAACATAGAGGGTCACTTTTCATCTTTGTAATAGCAGAATAGATCACATATTACTACTGAGGCACTTTTGTTCACTTTCCTTTGTTACCAAAAAAAAAAATTATATGTGAAATTCTAATTCTATCCTTCTTGCTTTAAACAATTAATTTTTTTTCTAAGTTTTTTTCTTCCACAATATTTTCTCCTCTGCCGCCAACCATTTATCCCACATCTACTCCTTCTTCTTCTACTCCTCTTACTCCATAACCATCTCCTTCTGCACCTTCTACTTCTCCTAAATCTCCTACTCAAAATATTTCACCTTGAATCTCAGAACCACCGTCGAATCCTTTAAGCAACAACAAAAACGGATCTACTCAAAATATTATGTCTTGTGATATTTCCACCACCGTCAAATCCCTTAAACTCCATCTTCCCCTTCATGCTTCTGATTGGTTATTAACAAGAGCGATGTCTGAAATTTCCATCAAAGAAGTTACTTTGCTTGTGATATTAACTCTAGTTTGTCTTTTTTTGTGAAAAGAAACAAAAAAGAAGAAATTAAGAAGATGTTGACTAAACTTCTCATCCACCTCTTCCTGATTCCAAAAGTATTAATTTGCCAAAAAGTTACAATCTTTTTTGTGAAAATGTTACTAATTTGTACAAAGTTTCAATTTTTTTGTGGAATGTTAGTAAGTTTTATGTATTTCAGAGGGAGTTGAAAAAGATAGAGTCTAGAACCAAGTTACTAAAAGAAGTATATGGTAAACTTTGAGTGTTAAGAGATGAATTAGAGAGAGTGTGAGGATTGAAGAAAGATAGTGCAAACATGTACATGTGTACAACTGCAACTTAGTATACACATAACAATTTTGTAAACATGTACATGTGTACACATAAAATTTTTGTAAATATAACGAAACCATACAATGACATTATGTACAATTTACTCTTGTACACATTTACACAAATGTATATATACTTCGAATATGTATATGTACAAATAAATATAGTATCCACATATACATAACTAAGTGTGTATGTAATAGATTTGTACAATGCATGTGTAATACATTTTGTAAATGTCTAAGTGGTATTGTTACATCGTAAGTAAGTATGTATGTAATAGATTTGTACAATTTTTTGGGTTGTACACTTGTACACAAAGACAATAAATGCAAAGTTGTACACAAGTACACAATATGAAACTGTCCAGATGTACTTGTTCCTCTGATTGTACATGTGTACTTCATTTTCTTTAGATAAAGTTGTTGAAATTTTTGGAACAATGATTTTTTTTTGTCGGGAGAGTGTGTTTGGAATAAGAGCTCTAGCTATGTGTTCAGAAGTAAACCCATTTGAAGTACAATTTTAGCTATCAAGAGATTTGATAAAGATGACAATGAATAGACATCTTGGCAATTTATCGAACACTTGGTATGCATTCTTTGTATTTATTTTTGCCAAACAAAATAAATTATATCCAGCTATTATTTGACAAAATAAGAGTAAAAACATAACATCTTTAGTAAAAAACGAACCAAGAATAGAGGAAGAGTAAACTTAGTACAAAAAATTAATAAATTTCAAACAAATCTTGCCCCTTAGTGAAAAAGGAACCAAATATCTTTTTTTGTAAGAAGATTTTTCAGAAATTCAAAGTTCTCCCATCACAATTCAGTTTCTCCTCTATGATTATAGTCATCTCTTTTCACAGAAAACTGTTAATTCCTAGAAAAAAAAGAGAGAGATGCGTACAAAGAGAGAAAAGAGAAAGAAAAAAAAGAAAGAGAGAGAGAAGAGATGAAATCAGACAACGGCAGCTTCTTTTTTTTTCTTAGAGAAATAAAGTCACTTGATTTTTTAGGGGTAATTTCGTATTCAGCCATAAAAAAAGTGTCTGTGTATAACAAAGTGATCTATTATGACAGATAAAGTCATAAAGTGACCTACAATGATAATCTCTCTAAAACCAATCGGTTGTCGGCTCATGTATTAAAATATTTATGCAATCTATTTTGAAGCTGGAATTTTCTCTTTTTTTCTTTTTTAGCAACTTTTGACATATCTATATTATTAATAGAGAAGTACCCATATAAAATACCCCTTAGTTTTCACTTTTATTTACAATAGCATGCCACTGAAGTAATTAAATGAACTTATATGTAAGTAATCATTGTCTTTTCCTATTTATTAAACAATTTCCTAAATCAATTTTGACTTAATTTTCGTGTTTAATATATTCCCTAAAATAAATTAGCTGATTTTTAGGAATATTCATATTTAAAATCGATTTTAACAATATTAAATTTGTATAACGTTACCATTAATTATTTTGAACAAAATTCAAGTTTATATTCGAAATTAAAAAAAATATTATGAATATTCCTAAAATATATGTTTAACTTAGCATTAATTATTTTGAACAATAAGATTTTAAATATATTTAAACTACTTATAAACAACATGAACTATTTGTAACTGAATATTATTTTAATATTTTCAAGAAGAAAATTTAATACTGAAATTGAAATATTGAATTACTTGTAAAACAATGTTTAATGTTTATAACCAAATATTATTTTTATAACGTATCTAAATCTTACCATATTATCCATATCTGATCAAAATATTTAAATTCTTTTAACATTTGACAAACAATTTCATGTTACAAGAAATATTATTCAAAGTATCAATAGGTCAATATTAATTTTTCAAGAGTTTAATAATGGACACAAATCACTATTTTTACATCATATAAACTATTCAATTGTTGTGTTTATAAAAATTTAGAAATATGATAAATATTTAAAAATATTAACGGATAGATATTTAAATAATACTCATTTATATAAAAAAAATGAAATAAATACCCGTCCGGTCGGAATATATACCACATATCAGAATATTACAATTTTTCACTCTTCAAAAACAGTATTTTTAGTTGCGCTCCAAAATAGTAACATATATTACTGTGAGTCCACACATGACTCAATACTTGCCTTCGTTCAATTCTGATACCACTTCTAACATCCTAACCACTTATGGTTAATGGTAACCACCTATGAAATACGCTATGTTAAATTTTTGGAAATTTAAAAGTGTTTTTACTGATATTTCAATCACCACATGATCTTCTTCCCTCTTTTGATCTTATTCGAAGAAAACCATGAGTCATTTTTTGATAGATCACCTATTTTTCTGTTACTCCACTTCAAACACGCTTAATTCAAGAATTATTTTTAAAATTGTGACAAAAAGATACATATACTTTAGTAGTATAGATAGCATAATACTTATTTTAAGATAATCAACAGATGCATAAACTGGGATGTTATAAATACTTTTCACTTGAACACTTAACAATTCTTTTGCTTTATCTTATTCTTCAAAATAAGAAACTGAATAGGAAATAATGTAAATGTGAAAAAATAATAACTATAATTTTATTACATAATCTACACTATAAATTCTGAAACTAACTATCACAATCTCAATTAATTACAACCACTTGGAATAATGAGAAGTGCACACACTTAAAAAAATATGGAAGTTAACCAAAATTACTTGTCTTTAGAACTCAACTTTTTAATAACTTTTATCAGAAAACTATGTGTTTGGTCAACATTTTCAATTAATTATTTAAATATTTCAAGTGATTCAAAAAATAATAATTTGTATAAGTACAATTTTTTTTTTTTTTCAAATCACAGTTAGTAAAATTTGATGAAAAAGGAAAATAGCGGAGTTTGGGAAAATTATTCTTCCTAGCGTATACAGTCATCTCAGAATTCTATCTAAACTATTAAAACTGAAGTATCAATTTTAATACACCCTCAAGTTTTGCTATATATTACACTTGTAAAATTCCTAAATTTATGGTTAACAAACTCAATTATTAAAAATATATTACACTGGTATCATTCCTACATTTATGGCTAACAAAGTCAATTATTTTTAGTATTAAAGATAAGATGGAAAAGAGTCCAACCAAATCGTGTGTTAATATTATACTAGGATAAGACCTGCGCCTTGCGTAGGGTGAATATACGTAATTAAATATAAAATTTTAGTATTGATAAATTTAAAATTTAGATATAATTTTTTTTATGTGTATTTGAAATTTTAGAATTTTGGAATTTTTAAATAATTATCTATATGTAAGATCAGAAACAATTGTAATTAGTAGATCAAATCTTAGAATTTAATGGACCCAATTTCATATATCTTTTCACTTTTTATTGTTCGAGTGATGGAAAATAAACAGAGTGTCACTGGGCTTGATTGGTAGGTATTATCAAATTTCCTAATGTTTTTTTAAGAAGCAGTTGGTAAAATAATAACATTTAAAATATATAAAGTTTCAAAACTAATTTAATATAATTAATTTATTTGTATAATAATATTAGAAACTATATTTTTTACAAATTATTATTTTGTAAATAATTTTATAAAAAGTTAAGTTAAATTTTAAATTATTTTTAAAAACAATATTTTAAGTTTGTCAAATACAAATAAAAAATTTAAAATTAATTATGGTCATAATTTAACATAACCATAATGATTTAAAAAATCAAAAAAATAAAAAATTAACAAATTAAAAATTAACACAGTTTTATATCATGATTTAATAATTTAAAAGTTAATTATGGTTATGAGAAGTTTACGTTCACGTGTTAATCCTATTTATCTTCAATTTTAAATTTTGTTGTGCCTTTTTATATTTTGGTTATTACTCGATATAAATATTGATTTTGAAGTTTATTCTCATTTCGTTTATTTGTTTTGACCTGGCATTTATAAAATATTTAAGATTTAAAATAATTAAAAAGATACATACTTAGGTTAAGATCTGCACTTTATGCACAATAAGTATTTATATTTATAATTTATTTTATAATTTTCTGCATATCATAAAATAATAAATAATAAATATATATATTACATAACTAAGAAATCAGTAACTATTATGTAATAAATTGACGTATGCATATAAATTTAACAATCACTCTTTTTATTTGCAATTAGCGTAAATATATCAAAATAATCAATCTTATATATTGTATATGATATATAATTAAATTTAAATGATATAAACATAGTAATATGGCACACTTTTAATATTGATATTTATAAAATGAGGTTTCTACTCATATGATTTTATGAATATTTGCATATTTGTGTAACAAAACTTTACACCAACATTTTTTTTAATGTGAGATGTTTAGTAGTTTCAATAATTTATAATCATTTAAAAAAATGACATATTTCAAAATTAAAATATTAACTTTTCAATATATGTTGAAGACAATCAAAATATAAGTATGTATTTTCATACGATTTATAGTTTAATTATAACGATATGAAATATATATATAAACTAAAATTATTTCTTCATATGGTCTTATAATCATTATATTTTAATATAGAAAACAAATTAAAACCTTGATCCTAAAAGTTTATGTGAGACTTTTAACAATTTTAGTAATTTATACTCATTTTGAAAAATTCGAAATACAACATACACAAACAAAAATCTAGATTTTTATTATATGATTAATGTAATTGTGTAATTTATTTTAATAATAAATAAATAAACAAAATGAGAAAAAGTATAAAGATTGTTATCAAATCTTCATTGTTTAAAATCATTAATTGTCATATATATTTTAATCACATTAAGTAATTTCGTATGTTTTATTAAGGAAAGCATGCAAAACAATAAATATTTGATATATGCGACCAACTATAGTCTACAAAATATTATATTGCTAGAGAATATAATTTTTAGACTATACATTATATCACATGCTCTAAAATCCTTGGGATTTGAAATAGAAGCCAAATAGCTATGCCACATCGAATTTGAGTTATTTTTAATTCTTACAAATTTAGTGTTACAACTTTTTAAATGATTGTCAAATAATATATAGGGGATTTCTGTTATACTTAAGTCACGGGTACATTAATGCTTTAATATTCTAATATTTTTTTTGAAACTTTTGTTCTTATTTACTATATTAATCTTTCTAACCGGTTTATTATATAAGTTGGTTTACATATTATTATAAGATTTATAAACCATCATACAATTACATATTGAAATTAATTTATGTTTATAAGTTCAAAGATAACATTAACTTACACTATATTATATAATTATATAATTACACAAAAGTGGTGCCAAGTCTTATGCGAAGATTTTTTTTCCACAAACTCTTTGACTACCAGCGAGAAATCTGTTTCACTGAAACTGACAATAGAAATTAGTTACTCTTAACAAAATCTTTCTTAAATGTTAAAACTACACAACAATAATTTTTATTAGTAAATTTGAGTTATCTGCCATTTTAGGCGCCCACATCGCTTTGGAGAGGGGGGCTTTGTTCACGTGTCGAGACGTCAAAGTGGCTGTGTAAGTCACACAAATTTTTGATTTCGCGCGTAGATACTCTGTTTGGGCCACGCTTAGGCTTCACAAATAAGCCCAACTAAGCTCACCTGGTCATGATCCTTTGTGGTCCACGGGATTTTAGGGTTCTTCTTCGGTATTCTTCTTGCGGTGGCTGCTTCCCCGCTGAGATTTCACAGAAAGTACACACTCTCTTCGCTACCCACAACGCTTCAGAGCTCCTTAAATCCGTCATTTATTTTGATTTTTTCCTTGATTAATCCACTCCTCCTTCATTAAGCTTTCGGTCCACCTCTTCGTGTTCTTTCAAACCTTCTTCATCTCCAGCTATAAATTTCTCACCTTCATACCATGCAAACTCCAACTCAAAACAAATCCTGGGAGGCAAGGAACATCAACAAAAAGGGGCAACTGATGAGCTTTGAGATGTTATTGATTGATGAGCATGTGAGTATATTTTCCCACACATATAATTATCTTCTCGGTTGAATCTGTTGATGTTTTTCTAAATTAAATTTAAAAAATCTTCCCCAATTCTTCAGGTATCAAATTGATTTCAATAACGTAATTTGTTTTCTATGACTTGTTTTATGATTTTTTATTTTTTTCCATTTCTTGATATGAACAGTCTACGCTGGTCCAAGGGTCTGTTTTTATAGTTTATTTTTTCTTTTCATATATAGTATGTATCTTTTTGTAATAGATGTCGTGTTGTTAATGGTTGTGTGTCTTTTAGGAAATGTAGTCAACAATGATCCAATGATGTATCAGTTAAGGAATCATCAGATCGTGAGAAGAAAGTTTCAATTGCGAAAATGAAAATCTGAATTGAGAAAGATCCACCTTAGTCTTCCTCTAGATTTGCATCATTTAATCAGATTTCATTGATTGAACCACCCCATTTAGATCTGATTCGACATTCCTTTGATAAGAAAGAGAGGAAAAACATGGCAAGAGGAGCTGATTCTGCTCGATATCAAAGGCTGTGTTATCATCTGGCGTGACTGCCACGGCGATGTCTTCGCTGCTCAAGCCGAGCTCTTCTTCTCCAAGCTCATCGAGAAAGAGGTTTTTTTTTTTTAGATTTACTATATAATCTTATGAGAAATATGTCTCTGTAACCTGAAAATATTGAATTTGTATCTCAGTGAGTTCCCAAGTGAAACTGAAACCTTTCAAAGAAATGGACACCCTTGGTCGAAATTTGAAACTGTTGGAAGTAATGAACAAGTCTGATCATTTGTTTAGGACATTGGGTTATATTAGATTGGATTTGAAGCGGAGTATTTATTTCTCAGTATGTTGGTTGATTGGCCAGGGTGATACACAACCAAATGGGGTCACTTACATGTTTGTACAGCTGAACATAGTGAGATTTACCTTATGATAGCATCCTTGCAGAACTGTAATGCTGCCAGTAATCTCTCTTTCCTTCATTGTTTAGTTGATGTAAGTAAATTCTGCAGCTTTTAAGAAGTACACATGATTGTATTGCTGTTACATAAGATGGAAGTGGTGATCTTTGTAGGTCTTTCCAGACATTATTTTTAGGAGGTAGAGGAAGAATCCCCCATGTTTACTTTGTCATAGCGGTATGTTACTTCTGCCACATCTCCTATACTATGAAGTTTGAAGAAATTTTTTCTATTGTTTGATGTTTGAAATTAATTTATGGTGATGGCAGTATGGGTTACTTGATGAGACAACTGACTTTAGGTACCCTCAGTATATGGGAGCAAGAATCCTCAATGAATTCATCAAGACTGATGCATATGAATGGAAGTTACACAGATGCCTCCTATGGCTGTCACAAGTTCTCTCCTGGAAGAGAGAGGGGATAGAGTACAAGAAGAACGAAGGACAAAGAAGGAAGCAAGCAGAAATGTAAAAAAAAAAAACGAGAAAGGAACCATTGATCAACACTATGAATTCTTAAGTAGGATCACCTCTTGGCTCGTGACTGCTCCGATTAGTTCTTAACACTTCCTTGGCATAACTCACCGATGGTGTTGGTCTCTCAAAGCACTCTGATGACCCTTAACCAGGTCACCAACAGGACATGGATCCACTAGAGACATCTGGATCCTGGGTGAAAGAGATTCCTTTCCTTTTCCCAAACATCTATGGACCGAAAATATGTTTTTTTGAACAACACAGAGTATGTTAGAGAAATCAAGCTAACTTATAATGGAAAATCTAAAAAGAAATAGTAAGAGTGGAAAAGAGGAGAGTTTGAGAGAAAAAAAACTACCTTTAAGTGAATAAATGAGGGTAGTGTCCTCCATTTATATTGATGAGGCTCAAAACGAAGAGACACTTCATTAGGTCTACGAGACCTACACTTCAGCACAATTTCTGCTTTTCTAGGAGCAACATTTCAACTTCTTGGAACAAACCAAAGTAACTATCGATTTGAACCGGAATTGATGTCGGTTCAGGGTAAACCAAAATGCAGTTTAGCAGTAGCGCCTCAGAGGAAGTTCTATTTCATTTAAAATACATGCGCCGAGTTCTATACTCTTAGAACCTATTCTTGCAAATTTATTTAGATTGGATTCGTCTCTCACAATAAAATGGGGGGGGGTGAGGTGCTTCCTTGGCGAGATGGATAACATCCCTCAGGCAAGACCCATTGAGTAAACTTAACTCAGCCAAATTAGTCAGAAGGTGGTATAAGATCGTGTCCACTTAGACACAATAAGGAATGACTATAAAAGGAGAACACAGAGAGGAAATGATATTCACGCACGAGAAAGTAGGCACAAGAATAGATTTTCATAGTTTACCTTGTTCTTGCCAAGTTGGTCATCTTTTATATGAACTCAGTGTTTTCTCTTGTAATCCATCATTGATCAATCAATAAATGTCTTTCAAATAAATTACCAGCGAACTCATGCTTACTTCTTGTACGTGCCGAGTTCAGATTAAGTATGAACTGTGTACGCAGCTACCAGCTCTACATAGAACCATTAACAAAAGTCTCAGAAACAAGCTTAATCTAATGAACACAAATGAAGTAAAAAAACCCAGGGATACCCTTACCTATTAATTTGTTTGGAAGTAAAGATTAGGTTCTCTACAGTATGTACTGTAGGATCAGAAAATTAATCTCCTGAAAATTTAATGTTTATTAAAAAATGACAAGATTACTATTTGTATTATGATAACAAAAAATATTTGAAACTTGAACTACACTGGTAATTGAAAACTTTTCTATAAAAATCTAATTGTTAAGTTATATGGACTTCCAACATGAAACTAACTAGTGATAAGTTGAATGGTCTATTTCTTTTATATATTAATACTTTAGATGCATTCCAACTTCTGATGTGAACTACCATTTCAAGTGTCTACAAAAATCTTGACTATCTATTCTAGAGGAACAATGCAATACAGGAGCAAGAGTTTCATAGAGATCCATATCCTTGGATCAGCTGGTATCTCTAGAGAGTCAAGAATGATAAGTTGTTTAGATGAATAACGAGAGATCCACTTGAGCTAGTTAGATATGCTGAGAGTGAATGCAATTCTTGGTTTGAAGCCTCAACTTAAATGGGTACAATACCACTCCTGCCTCAGGAAATACAAGCCTTATGCTTACAACGTATTTACCTGGTTGATGGATCATAGTCAACATAGTCAAATTTTAGTGGGTGTGGATGGGTATACTAATATACCATGGATTTTACGTGTTTTGACCCATGGTATATGTTCTCTATTGAATCTATTATATGGGCTCAGAGTATTTTTAGAGTATTTTCAGGTTCAGGTATGTTCTAGAGAACTTTGGTGATTTAGGAATCTTTTGAGGTGCAGAACTCTGCACAGACGCGTCAGATGTTTATCTATGGAGAGAGATCTTCCCACGGTGTGGTTTAGCCCATATTTTGACACAAGATATAGCGTTGAGTTATTTTTCTAGTGCCACCAGTTTGAGGTCCATCTGACGGTTACATCTAAAGTTATGCCCAATATACTGAAGTGTGGTTTGTCTGCCTCGCGAGAGGAAACTGTCGAGAAGATGAATGAATGTCGATCGATGGGCAGCCTTAGTGTCGATCAATGGCGACCCCATAATACAGGCCCGAACTGTTTCAAGGCTGACCTAAGCCCAGAAGCCACCAAAAATTACCATAATGCCCTTAGCCGACTAAAAATCCTATTTATAAACCATTGTTTAAGCAATGCTTTCTTTGATGCTTTAAGCTCTCTATTGTTATTAGTTCTATGGTTAGTAGAGAAGGGAAAACTCCTTTAAAGTTCTCCTGGAACTCTTGGTTTTTATATTTCTTTCTATTTTATATCTATCTAGTTTATGCTTTCATATATCATGTCTGAGTAGATCCATCTGCTAGGTTTAGGTTTTCTAGGGTTTTTATTTATTAGCCAAACAGTAGAACTTCTAGGGTTATTTATTGTATCTTTCATTAGGATTGTTCTTACTTCTTCTGTTCTAGAGTAATTAACTAGAACCCTAATAATATGATAGCTAGGTGCACACAAGAACATGGTCTATTACCTTAATATAATTTTATTGCCTAAGTTGATAGAAACAACGAGAGTTGATCGAGGAATCTAGTGAACATATCTATCAGTTCGATAATGCTTGCCTAAGGCAGCGTTGATAGACGCTAATACGATAACATCGATCGACGCTCAATCCGTGTTAACAAACACTAGACTTAGTCAATATATTAGAATCGCAGTGTGAGCTGGTCGTATTTTATATTAGATATCGAGTTCAAGGATTGACACCGTTAGCTTCTATCATTTATAATCCACTTGCCTGAAATCCTAAGTTTAACACCCATCCTTCCATCAAACAACAAACTTCTCTATTTACTTAGTTGTTACTTATCACTTTATACTATCTGACCTAACGTAGTCTGAAACTCAAGTCTATTGTGTGAGATATCAAGTCTTTGTGGATATGATCCTTAAGTACTGCAATTAATCTCTTAATTGAGAGAGTTGCTCTTGGGGTAATTTGAACACATCAAACTTGGCCCCGTTGCTGGGGACTCTGATCACCATTAGACTAGGTGTCGGATTTCGTCTAGGTTTTTATTTATTTACTTGAATATTTTTTTCTTGTGTTTCAGGTACATACATATGAGTACCAGAAGCAAGAAGGGAATATGGCTCTTACTAGTAGAGCCACTGGATTTAGAATGCGTGATCCATAAGTCTAAGAGGACTGATATCACTCAAATTACCATAAGGAGTGAATTACTCTCATCAAAAGAGGTTCAATTGTGATACTTAGGGATCAAATCCACAGGGACTCTAGGATTACACAACAGATTATTTAGTTTTCGAAATAAAGCTAGACATCAAGCTTAAAACAATAACTTAGAAGATGAGCAAGTGATTGTTCGACTGACTGATTGATTTGTTAAGAGGAAATAAAGTAGTTAGACTTAGGTATTTTCTCAGGTATGACAAACATGCAAGTTATAAAGGGTTTTTATTGTTCATAGTTCTAGCTCCAAACTTTTAAGGTTTTAATCTAACGAATTAGCTTCTACTGGATTTTGGGTCAACAACTATCGTTCGATAACCGTTAGAGAGTATCGATCGATGTTCGGTGGAAATATCGATCGATGACTCTTTTCTATATCGGTCGACGAGATGATTATCCCGTCGAGCGATATTGCTTCCAGCGAGCTCTAGTGACGAGTCTGAAAGGTTTTCTAGTCTTCACTAAACTAACTTAGATTTCAGGTTATTGCCAAGTTCTCACTTGTCCATATTGATCCTAAAATCAAAGATAAGGGTGATCAATCCTTAACATTAGTATTTATGATGACTAGATGAAGAACTATATTTTAAACACCCTAATAATGATTCATTCAATGCATTAGTCAACCTTAATGAGAAACCTAAATCTAACAAGAGAAACTACTCAAACTTATTCATGAGAAACAAAGTCATAATGGTTTGAATAATGCTTTAAAGATAGCAATAGCAAGAGAAAAAGTAAAGAGATAAGTAAAGCAAAAGAGTTCAAGATCTTGTATGGATTTGTAGTTCAGATCTCTCTTTCTACTCCTAAGCTCTTCTCCAAGTATAGCTAGATGCTTCTCTCCAAATTAGGTCTAAAAAGATCTCTCTCTAGAAGTCTGCATGAACTAGTACAAAACCCTCATAATATAGCCTAACATGCGGCTAGGGACTTAAGGTGTAATTATTAAAACTCTTGCGAAGCAATTAGGGCTTCTAATCTTTAATTAATCACTCGGAGGACTTCTGTATCGATCAATGGTGAATACCCTCAATCGATCAATACGGGTAATCTCCTATCAGTCGATTGTTCTCAACGTACGCCAGTCGATATCTTTAACATCGTTTTGCTCATATCTTCATAAAGTCTCCATTTTAGCTCCATAATGGCTAGTTTACACCAATGAGTACATGAACCTGTAAAAGCTCTAAAAAGACACTAGAAGTATCCTTTTGTTTCCAAAAAAAAATATATAAATCATGGTTGAAAATGGGTAAAATCCATGACATATCAACTGCCCCAGACTTATCATTTTGCTTGTCCTCAAGCAAATAATAGAACATTGGTCTAGAAAAGGTTTGAAAGGCGGAAACTCCTATAATTCCAAACTTGGAACCATCACCTCTTTACTTATTGCAAGCCACTTCAGATATCTATCAATCTCAGAAGTACCTTACACCATATCCTAGCTTAGAAACCAAATTCAACTAGCTAACAACTTAATGATCCTGTTTGTCTATCCCCTCTGCCGGTTTCATTTATGCATAAATTAAAAGTGCAAGCTTTACCTTGGGAATATCGATCAAAGGACACGTGGACTCTCACCCCAACAGATATCTGAGTAAACATGTAGTCTTATTATGGTTTCTTTTCTCCCTATATCT